CTCAATTCTATTCTTGAATGTGTAAAAAGCATCTGATCAAGTGCCTCACAAACGGTTACTGATGTAGCTTTCTTCGGAGTCCAGGATCCGCTACTTGGTTGGCCATCCTCATACCTGTAGGGTCGCTCCCAAATAGTCACTCTAGGCGATCATCGCTCTTCTCCACATCCAATTACCAGCGGGGTTATACAAGAAAGAGTGTTCTGTCCATTAGATTTCCTTCTTTAGATCAATGACATCAGTTTGTTTATCAAACATGGCGTGCCGCTTTTATTTGTCACTGGTTGAAAAATTGTCTACAAGTTCTCACTATTTGAGCTTCAGAATGCACTACTCATTCAAGGAGACATTCATTCATTCATTTGGACCTGGTGCGACAAGTGGATGGTGAAGTTCGCTGCATAAAAGCCAAGTATCATATGTCGTAGTTGTTTAATACCTGTGTATAATGGTCTACACGTGACCTCGGAATCAGATGTCTTGTATCTCCAACTTTTCTGAACAGATTGAGTACCAGATAGCACGAGCTAGACGATCCGTGGCTAACATATCTCATAAGATGCATATAAGCACAGCTGGAGTTGAACTATTTAAAATCTTTACTCGTCTCATCCTGGAGTACTGCAGCATAATCTGTGGCAATATAAGAAAATCAGACAGAACATCAATAGAAAGCCTTCAACGGTCATTTATTAAACACCTATTGGAAAATAATTTTATCATGAACTAACGGGAGCGATGCCAACAACCCCATATCGGTCCGCTTTGGCTGCGAAGACAAAAACACAATACTGCTGTACAATCTGATTCATGGCAATACCTAATGAAATCTACCCACATTTACGTTGCAGCACAACTCCACGCGGGATCTACGTAACAAAAACTTTACCCGAATTATACTACGATGCAGGACAAATATGCGGCCTAACTTCTTTTGCACCAGAAGCGCTTCTCTGTGAAATCGCCTGCCAATCACAATCAGGTCGTGTGAGACTGTGTAATCATTTCGCCATAAGTTGGGAAGCTACCTCGACCACCATTATATCGCTTTTTCGTGGGGAAGATCAATTGACGATCTGTTCAATGAAGGCGCAGACAACGTCTAATGGGTGTAATACCACCATTTTACGCAATCTAATTAGCCCTCAGTGTCCACAACACACAAACTGCAAGAGTGCCTTCTACCATCGTATATGACAAACATATGGGGCAAATACCTTGTCAGAAATACAGACAAATATAAGAACATAACTTCATATTGCTCATGCAAGAGCATGATATCACTTGTACACGTATGATCTGTGCCAAGTACGGTCAAAACTCCTCACTTGAAGAGAAACATACGCCTTATTATATATTGGCATTATAAGACCAGTACCGCTTTTGCAGACAGTTACAAATAAGTGAACAAGGAGCTTCAGCATTTGAACCGGAGATATAATGATGGTGGGATCGTGCGATGATAGTGGAACACTGTACTAAACGGCACCAAGGCAGAAAAAGCAGGTGCAACAAGCGACATCCGGAAGATTAACTGGGATGACCGGAATGTGTTTCAAATTTAGTGTTCTCTCATGAGGTTGCCGAAAAGCGAGACGCGTAGGATTTCGCGAACTAATATCAGACAATGATCGTCCGAGAGAATCGCCAGCGATGCGTCGTTAAAAATATTGCAAGGTGCTATGAAACTTCAAATGAGCATACAGCTGCTGGAATTATGATTGCCAGGAATGCAGTGGGATTTATCGATCAGTTAGGTACGACGCAACTACTTGAGAGAGAGGAGTCAATAAGCTCCGAGGAAGGTAACAAAATCGACTACACGAAGTGTCAGAGTTTGCTACTAAGTGAACATTCACCGAGGGGAAATAGTATGAGCAATAGGGCGATCTAGGGTAAAAGGTTTCACATCCCAACGGCAGAACGGCAACTCACAGGCCTAGTGGACCGCCGTTTGCTGAGTGGAAAAATAGCGCTAAAAAGAAGTTAAACCTATAAAATTTTCAAAATAAAACAGAAAATATCGACTACAACTGGCTGAGTCGAAAGGCAAGATTCACCCGATAGCTAGAAAACTAACAGACAAGAGGTCAGTAGAGTGAGTCGCCTAAGTCGACAGCGCAAAGCTCTAAAGCATCACAAGGAGAAAAGTGCAAGCGCAGGTTTGAAGACGCAGCAAAAAAGATGGCTGAGAAATCCGGCAAAAGTTAAAACGTGCTCCAGTTACTATGGCGGAACAGTGAGGAAGGGACTAAAGTGGAAGAATAAAATAAGAAATGGTGAGCAAATCTGTACATCGATCTGACCGATCCGAGGTAGTTCAACCAAAAGTAGTTCTGTACAGTGGACAACAAACCCACAAAGATATCGAACTATGCAGTGGAAACCGAGTTAATAAATTCGGGTCGCGATTTACAGTTGATAACTTCATCACAGCACCCTTGGACAAAAGGGTTGAGTATAAGAACGCATTTATTGATCATTAATGATGAGAGATCATGATGAAAAGTGAAATATTCAAAGGAGCAATAAAAGCACCAAGATAGTGGTCACGAGTAGCAAAAATATTCCTGTGGGCTAGTATCTGAACAAGTCTGCAGGAATGAGATGGAGTGGCGTCATCGAATGCGATAGGGAAAAAAGTGCAATGTCTCATCGGATCTATGCATGCCCGTTTTCGCGAACACTTTAAACAAATTGTGCACCGATACGCGGTGATTCGGACGTTGGCTTAAAGCCTGATAATTAATCACAATGATCCATGCCGACGTCGTATTAAAACAAAACAGGCAATACCACTCGAGGCGGTTACTATGGAACACGCCGATTTTAATGCATAGTCTGCATGTCGTACGCAATCACGGAAGCCGCAGGATCGAGTCGCGTCAGAAATGAAAGATGCAGCGGCGCGGAATAAATGAACACGGCCGGAGAGCGGCACCGTGAATGCGTACGAAGGGGAAAGGTCGAGTAGAAGAATAAAATAATTCTGAGGTGGTGTGTGCGACATAAAATATGTACAAAGATCACATAGACCAGTGATCACAGGATCAGCTGAGTGGTGTCGTGGCTGTAAACGTTGCAAGCGAACTGATATCGACGAGTAGTACGGATGGCCTCTACATCAGCAGTCATGACGTTGACAGATAAGCACAAAGGCGGTCCAGTAGAGGTTTCAGCTCAAGTAGTTCGACCAACATCCACCAAAATATGTGTATAATAGAAAGTGTGTTTGACATCCACGATAGAATAGTTGAGAGAGTTCAATCCGTCAGTACTTATACGGGCCTTCGCCGATTTTAGCAGTGGCAAGTGATCATCTACACGGTCCTTTGGCGCTGGATCGTGGGGTACCGCATGGTATCGGGCTACCGATATCGGCACATGTATATAGTCTAAGCCCCTGGCATGAATGCGAGCTTCCATGTCATCGTCTTCCTGTCCCCAACCCCAGTATCGGTTGGAAAAGCCATTCACTTTGATGAAATTAAGCGTTGAAAATTTTAATACGCCACCGACCAGAGATGGGTAACGTAGCTTGAACGAACGATTGTCGAGTCCCACTCCAAGATGTACGACGATATTCTCCGTTAGACTATCACAGCCGTATGGATTCAGATCGTTGATGGGGGCCAAATCCACGTCGTGGAAGATAACGCAACGAAATCGGAAGTGCTTTGCTGCCTCAACGAAGCCAACGTTCAACATCGAACCTTTATTGAACACAGAGGGATTTAGCTGTTCAACCACAAAAATCCGAAAGCACAAACGTTGCTTTTGCAAAAGCGGAATGAGATAGTGTAGGATGACATGCAACTGTTTCCAACGATTTTTACAAGCGATAACAATAGCGACTCCAGCATCGTAAGACCGTTCGCAGTGCCGGCTGGAATTAGGAGCGCGTGAGCGATATGCCCAGGCACCACCCTGCAAAGTTGGACTGATGTGCCTGATGAGAGTTGATTCACTTGACTCTAACTCAGCGCGTACGTTCACATCACCTACCTGGACCAATTTTTGTTCCATGCTGTGTGATACCGGCGGTACAATTCGGCAAATTGCCTGACACGTTAATTGTCCGTTAGGACGCACGGCAGCTCGTTCCAATTGTCTCAAAGTTTTCTCGGATTGTTGCTCGTTCACAGTATCGTCCACGATAAGGGCTAGGAAGAGAGAACGTAAGGACAAAACGCACAAGAAGAACAGGCTAATCGCCACACAAATGATAACAGGATCCTTGTTTCGTGGGAGCCGAAAAATTCGGAGGAGCATTGGACACGCTGAGTTAGTGTCGCACGAAGACGTCAGCTTTACCGTGAGCGTGGTGATCTCAGAGCAACGCCACCGACATATATTACTACCATGTTTGGCGTGCCGTGTATGTGTGCACAGAGGGGTGCATTTGATGAGCAATGAGCCAATGGTGGTGTAAGCACGTTCGCGAATCACAGTGAAGACACGTGCGCGTCCAATGTTTTTGAGCAATTGTGACCCAATAAGCGAAGAGGTGCTTGGTGTGTGGGTGCTGTGAGCAATGAGTGTGAGCAAGCAAGCGAGCCGGCGCCGAAGACACGCAAGAGAGCTCTGTTGTACACAATGCTTCACGGTGAACTATGTCGTACAACTTCCTATCACTGGCCAGTCTCTCCCATCAATTGGGAACAGTCCATGGGGCAGTAGAAGCGGGTAACTTGGTAAAAATGATACACAGAAGGTAGAATGGATAATTACGTGTAGTATGTGACGAAAAAGGAGATAAGAAACCTGTGTAAGATAAAAGTCGCTGAAAAATGGATCATCGTAATATTTTCAACAGCTTCTGGGTGAAGCAACAATATGTTATCGTCCGCGAAATATGCGATCAGGTAATGTACCTTCGAAACAAGAAAGAATGGGGGATGCAAATAAATCAGAAAGAGTAGACATATATAGTAGTGCAATCGGAGTAAGAGGCTTACGATCAGGAATGAAGAAACCAACAAGGGGAAAAGTGCACTCACGGCAAAGGATCTTCGAGGAGAGGCGCCACTCTACTCATTGTGCCCCAATTAATCGGGCGACCGATCTCGTTGTAGAGACGTGTGATAATCGTCCGGAACGGTTCGGTGTTGTGAACCCATTCAATTAAGCCTCCTTTTTCGCTTAGGGGGATGACGGCCTAGAAGCATAGGAGTACAAACAAAAGAGTGGTGAGCTCATAGAACGGTCCACAAACATGACGATTCACAATATGAACAGAGCAGAATATGAGTGGCCTAGCTGAACCAAGCAATAAGGCATCTGCATGGTTAACGCACAAAGACAGAGCTTACGTATGTGCGTATCTGCAGTGCACGTCGTCTTGTATCTGCATTTTTCACCAAAAATGTATTAATCATACCATTCAACTCCATTAGACGTGAATCCTTGCGGAGATCGTCCTGAGATAAGTAAAAAGAACAAGAACACAATCGTCCAGAGCAACATGGGAAGCTTGAACTGCCTGTTTAAAGTGACAGGTCGACTGTGAAGTACAGCATAGATGATAAGCAGAACAAAGACGATACTATTAAAATGTTAGAAGTATTCGGATAGTGAGTTAGACAAAACTGGTATGGCATAAAAAATCGAGACGGTGGTGGCTGGCAGAATGGATGGACGTAACCGATGCTAGGCCAACGGTCAGAATGCCAAAGATGATCATAATTGCAAGAGGTGGATGGACGATCAAAAGTTGGTCAGATTCAGCAGTAAAGAAGCCAAGGTGGCCTCGGAAAGGGCAAGTGTGTATTGTACCGAGTAGTACCAAGTGCCTGTCAATTAACTCGAGCGGACGTCATAGGAGGTATGATCGGAACAAGTCAGTGGAAGTGAGCTGCAACTGAGAAGTAATTAAATTTCCCGCATAAAATAAATGGCCATACTGTTCGCTTTAACTCTTGTAGGGCTAACAGACACAAGGGAGCACGCGGATTCTATGGGTAAAACCATCAGAAGAAAATGCATCCCATAATGCACATACGTTAGGCTTCGCCACGATGATGTAATTCCGGCCATCTGATCCCACCCAAGTCATTTTCTTCGGTCGAGTCTGAGAGCCCAAAATTTCCACAGTGTCCTCTATGCGTGTCAGGCAGACAAGTTGGTCAGGTCCGGAACCAAAGGGCCAATGGCGCTGCATGTCCTCGTACCGGCATTGAACAGATAACAAGTTGGGCACCAACTGGCGATGAATGGGGATAAGAATGCGCGAGAAATCGCTGGTAGGAGAGACAGTAGGGAAACAAAATGAAATCGCTGGTTAGGGACACAACCATGAAATGTAGGTAGTCAAAATAGGGCAAGAGGAATAATAATAATAATAATAGAGGAATAATAGCGAGTGGTGTTGTGGTCGATGACTCGATAAACAAATCCAGACAGTGTAAGTGGAGTAGAATTGATTTATCTTGTCCAAACTGTGAACCAACTGAAGATATCACTTCTGAAGTGCTCACGGAACAAGCATGCATATCATGAAAATGCTCCATGACTTGTGACTACCGGGAACAACGAGTGGAGGGGGTAACAAAGGTCGTTGGAAAAATGGGAGCACTGACCTGCTTTCAATCAAGCGGGTCAGGGGACGCTGAGATTGTCGTAGACTGAAACTGCGCATCTCTCGTCTGTCAGTACTCATAAACAGACCACAAATAGTTCGGAGATGGTTGCACAAAGCAGTGCAGTCCTTTAAATGGGAAACGAATAAAAGTGAAGATAAGCTGGATGCAGTGAAAAGACGCGACGGCTAGCGGCAGAGTTAAGGGATATACATGTTGCTATAAATTGTGAACAAGAACAAGCCACCCGTGATAGTGACCACGAGTGAAAAATAATGAGCTCAACTTATGTTTCGACAGCACATGAATGCCGAGGACCGTGTGCTTTAGTATAGAGCAAGTAGAAGCACTAGTAGTTGCGAAAAACTCACTGCGATGAACTTCGACAAATGTGGCTGCTTTGTCCTACAAATGTGGGAAGACAGGAGGGGAAGTTGAGCACGAGAAAGAGATGAAAGATCGGAATGACAGACGCCAAATGAAGACTGTCAATCAGTGACAATTAAGTCCTGTCTAGTAAAGTAAGTAAATAAATAAATATGAAACGTTCATACCCGGATTCGTGCGAGGTAGGTCTGCGTTGGTATACGCAACCATTCGAAGCGCACTTAACCTATTGATCACAGGCCAATGGGAAACATGCAAAAAATTGTTGGGAAAAACCGAACAAGTTATGCAGTAAAACTTAAAAAAGTATTTGCAAAGGTAATGTATGATGTGGCCCATAACCTGTTATCTTTAAACGTGTCCATGGTTTGTGAAGGAATTAATGTGACAATCGAAAGCGGATAGTTGGCGGTCGGGGGAACCAACGGTTTTACGGAAATACATGCGTTGATATCCTTTAAGCAGATCATCGGATCAATATATTCTAGTCTTGTAGAGAAGCGTCCGGTGTTAACTCGGGTAAGGAGAATGTTTCGATTACAGCTGCTAGGATGAATGAAACTATAAGGGCTACTTTAACTCGAAGACACTAGCGAAGCACGTTGTGGATACGTCCCGCTTCCGTAGGATTGGAGTTTTGTAGTATTGCCTACTTGCTCTACCACACAAATTCCTTGGCTCTGGCACCTGTAACGAAAATAAAGGCGCAACTGTTGTTAGTATGTCGCAAAGTCGTCGGCAGAATTCTCCATGACAGTTTCAGTAATGTGTTTCATTGCAGGGTCGGTTCTCTGCTTGATTTCACAAACGGCACCGAATTTAGCTGGAAAATTTTTCCTAATAGAACAAGGGGCAATACCGATTTGTGCAGGCAGAATACTTTTGCAGTCAAAGGGTTCCGTCGATGCACCGTCTTGAGGTTGATGGATGCCGTGCTTAATCGTACGATTTGCGAAAAAATCAAATTTAATAGTTTCGCATTATCGAATTGACGGAAAATGGAAGTGTGGACCTCCAGTCAGATGTAGCAGCGTTTCATGTGAGCCTTGAACAGTCATTGGCGGATGAATTATTGGGACCGAAATGGAATGATCCAACTGAGACACATGAGGGTCGTTTCAATGCAGTGCGATATTAGTCTGTTGAACCTAAATAAAGCCCACGAAAGAACCAAATCAGATGATAGGATGCTGTTTGAGATCAGAATGCGGTGTGTGGGTGATCCAGGCGTGTCTAACACGACAGTGAATAGACAAAACTATGGTTAGCTCAAGGGGAGCTGAGGCACGGTATGCTGATTGCATAATCTAGGAGGACACGCAGTAAGATGGTCTCTGCGTATACCAATAGTGGAATAAAGTAGAAGTATTTAGGGCCGTCATGTTACCAAACAGTTACCAATACAATTTTGGGTGGCTAATCGAAGTAACTCTTCGCTGCCACCCAGAGTTGATAAGATAAAAAATCAAAAATATTCAACATGAAGGAGGCTGGAATACTTAGCCGAACCGCTGAGTTTACGCATCAAGGAACGCAATGGTTATGTATGGTAGCCCAAATATGATCATAATATAACAGGAACGTAATTTTCCTTAGCGGTGCAAGAATCCCTACTTGCGATTACACTGTGTGGGTTCGCAGGGCCAAAGAAATACAGAAAATGAAGAGTGATGGGATGACAATTGGTAGTGAGTGCCGTCCTGACCTCAGCATATTATCAAAACAAGGTGTTATTGTTTTTAATAGCAAACACGAGGGTAACTATGACATCGGTGAAACGAGATAGAGGTGGCCAAGGGAGAGGAGGTTTGGAATAGAAGGATAAAACTGCAAACACTTCAACTAACCTGACGAGGGTGAAAATTTGCTGGCATCGATCGCGACGTTGTCGGATAACAGACTAAGGAAAAGTAAACAAATAATTTGGTAGAGTGGTGCGCTCGCTCGGGGACTAGGGTAATAAACGGGGGATATAAGACACGATACAACGATTTTTATTGGTAGCGACGTAACAAACGCATGCTGCGCGCCAGTGCTTAGTTATGTTACATCGTCCTTGTGTGGACACCCGCTCAGCATAAGCAGAACACAGGCGAGATGAAGTGGACAGTATCCAAGTCATAGCCCTGGGTGGTTTTATTTAAATGAGATCGGCCGGACAAAAGCGAATGGTGTGATGCGAACATTCTCCTGTCTCTTCGCACTACTACATCAACACGCAAGCCAAAACGAGTTACGTTGGAGCACAGGACACTATTCTGAACTAGTAAATAGAACCTGTTCGCAATTTAGGCGACAAGGCACAAATCAATCGGTCAAATGCCTGCAGATACGCGTGCGATTTGTGATAATCTAGCAAGCTGATACTGGCAGCAAACCCTTCCACTGGTCTATTGGGAGATCAGCTACAATTTGAGTGCACCAAACTTAGAGGTGAGTCCTGCCTTCCGACTTATGATCTGTTCGATTGTGGAAACAGAGTTTGATGAACAAAAGGAAAGCATGGTGATGCAATTCAGCGCCAAGGGAGACAGGATGTATGTATGTTTTTCATACTGCTCGGGAGAAAGGTGTTGAGCCAACTGCAGTCAGATGCCTCAAGATCACATCATGCACTTCTGCGCTGTCTCCTGTGACAAGGTCTTGGGCAGATCAGCTGTTCTGCAGAACGACGATAGGTTACCTTTTGCAAATAATGAATGACTCGGATTGAGCTAGAGTTCATATGCAGCAACACACATGTGTCAGTGTGTGAATAAAAATTGTCAATGTGCATACACATCTTAGTATTGTCTCCCAGAATGCATTAACTGACTAATCTGCATCCGGAAATCCGTAGTTTGGCTCAGGTATCTGACTAAATTGCGGGCGCAGGAAATGTCGTGTGCGCATTTGGGTGGATATCACCCGTATCAAGGAAGAGGAGATTAACGGTAATCTGAGAGAACTGAACAGCGTATTAACGGCTCTGTCAAGGAATATGTGTGAAAAGTGAAACAATCGGGCCTAGAAGTTAGCGCAAAACATAGGCCATAGGTACGCATCTTGTCCTTGGAAGAAGCCAAAACGACTTTGCCAGGTAAGCTTAGAAAGAAGTGTACAACCGGTCATTCCTGATGTTCGACAGTATTATGATAGAGCAGTCAACGATGGATATAAGATAGTTTGTCAGTGATAGGAGGCAGTCGATATGGAACTATGCTTAAAAACCAGTGTCAGCACTAACATCGTAGCTAATTCTGTTTTCCGACTAGTACTTAAATAGCTTAAACCATAACTGGTACGGGACTGTTATCAGTAGCACTATACTGGAATAACGCACATCATCAAGTTTGAAACATGGAGTCTCCTCTACCCACATTCAAACGGGGGAGAGAACACAAAATGTAATACGATGGTATTTCGACCAGTCTCACAAGTAGCATGGTTAATACAAGAAAGAGGAATGGATAGCGATATCAATTGGGACTCGTTTTCAATAATCGTCGGAAATGTAGCGACCATTCTCCATAAGGTAAACCGAGTCAACTCATTCAGAGTGTTACTATGCGACAGAACAGTGAGGCGCTATCAAGGCGGGAGAATCGCTCCGTGGTGCGCGTACATATATAACCGAAACCATAGGTTAAATTACCTTGAACTTGTTTATGCAATGTGCACCAACTAAGGTAAATCTATTAGCGTCATTCAGAACCCCTTGGAGAGGGGACATTGATAAACATGGAGGTGAGACGAGGCTGAGCGCAATTCGAATCGTCTAGGTGGATGGAAAAAGCGCAAACGACCTCAAATTACGTCTTAGTAGCAGATTCGACGCTAACATCAATGAAGTCATATCGCATAAATATACATGCGACCTGTGCCAGTTGAAGCAGCTAGGATAAACTATAACAGTCTACACGAAGTGAGAAATGATTGGGGTGGAGGTAGAGACTGACTGCAGAACTCTGCTAGTGTTAGGGTCAATTGGCGGCAAGGGGTCACTGGGTATTGATCAAAAGAGATCAGTCAACCTTACTCTGCGTTTCGAGACTGTAGCTCGAACAAGTGGAACCGCTTAAACAGTAGGCTTTACCAATTTGAAAAGGGGCAGTAAAAGTTTGTGAACGAGTGCTACAAAGTTAGATGGCCGTGAAGACGAATTTTTGTCAGCTGCAGTGAAGCAGAAAATAACTGGTAGATAAAACTGTCATGCAAAACTAAAAACATATTGCCTTGCGAAGATGGGGTATGGAACTTTGAAATCTGCTAAATTTGAGATCAAGGTACCTGGAGTCGTGTTAAAATGTTTAGAACGATGAAAAACGCTAGATGAATAAGACTGAGCAGAATAGGGGAAATAGTGGGATAACCCGTCCAATCTATGTAAGCCGCGTGGTATGTGAGACAACAATCACCCCCACCAGCGGTACCCATATGGTTGTGTGCCAGAGAGATTACTTCGTTGCGCTAAGAAAAACCGAATATGTAGGAATTATAAGTGCTATATGAAAACGGAGTAGGAAATATTAACAGGCACATAAGATGTGACGAGAGCATTGAACAAACATACATCATTTAGCGGCATAAGAAACCAAATCGACTGCAGTGGGTAGGCCTCAAATATTCGCACGATTAGCTCCATCAAAGAGTTGACAACGGTCGGGTGCTCATGACAGACACGGGACAACAATTGTCCTAATGCGGTGTAGTATTGATATGCCGGAATCCGCTGGATGTTGCGGCACATAATCTAAATAAAGATGTAGAGAGAGCTGTGCAGCAGGAAAGCAACAACAGAACACTAGGAACGTGTTCAAACCATTCAAGGAAAGAAATAAAAAAGGCAACAGACAAGCGGGAGGAAATCGCCTGCTAGACCGCCATCATCCAAGGGAAAATAGAGTTAGATGAAATTTTAACATTGGAGGCAAGCAGGATCAGATTTTCATTCAGATACTTACAAGTGACAGTTCACAGAAAAAATATGAAGATCACGCCTAGAGCGTACTTATCAGTAAAATCTATGATGTACTAAAGGCCACTGGAAAATGAATACCCGTGATAAAGCGACGCTTGAGGTGGCAGTGGTACGCAAAACAAAAAGAAACTGCTCGTCTCAGAAGATAGCTTTGTATGGATAAGTAATGATTGTATGTTAATTGTTCATTTGTTCTCCGAGCGTGGCGGTTTTGTCGCAAACGTTTCACCACCATGCGAGGTGGCATCCTCAGTGCAGTGATATGTAGCGTGCAAGCTTACTAAATGAATCCTCCATCCATGATCAACCTGCAGGTGACTTTGAACGTGGCAGTGTCGATTTAGCTCCCGTGGCCTCTATCCACATTCCCCAAGGCTAAAGTCGGCGCCCGAGTTGTTCTGCATCAAACCGCGTGACAAAATGTTCTTTATTTCTTTCTGTCGCAGTGGTCCGTATAGTGAACCGATGTCCACGCGGATGTTGATTGAGTGTTCCGTTGAGAACCAAGCTTCCAAGAATTCTCTTTCTTTTCTTGTTTCACCCCGTGCTAAGACTTCTGCTTTGCTCCAATCGAAGCTATGTCCTTCTTCATCTACATGCATTGAAACTAGCGACGATGCATAATGATTTACACAGGCTCTCTTGTGTTCTTGTATTCTTGTTATCAGTTTTCTTCCCGCCTGGCCAACACAATCCCTTTCGCAATCTCGGCAAGGTATTTTGTATACCACATTGCGTTGTTCATATGCCTGCAGTTTTTCTTTTGGTTTTGAAAGGGTTTTTCTCAATGTGGCAGTTGGTTAGTGTGCTACGGTGAGATGATGCTGTTTGAATAGTCTGGCTGCCATTTCCGATATGTTCTTCATATAAGGCAGAACAACCCGTTTCTCCGTTGTCGTTGTTGTTGCCGCTGCTGCTGTTGTTGTTGTAGGCTGTATGTTGAGGTTGTTGTGGTTCAGACACCTTCGGATGAAGCTTCGTGAGTATCCGTTGAGTTGAAAACATTTAAGTAGGTGCTTTTCTTCCTTTTGCTTTGCTTCTGTGGTACTGCAGTGTGTTTGCACTGCGAAACAGTGTCCGCACACAGCTTACTTTGTGACAAAACCGACAAGCTCGGAGAACAAATAAACAATTGATGCATCAACCCGAGCCACCAGTATTTCGAAATAATTGTACGTTGTCTGAAAGGTTTTTCTCACGAGTATTCACTCAGTGAAGACACGAGTTAAGAGCACGAAAAGAAACTGAATATGTACAAAGAAATAGTTGCCCTCACGCTCGCCATGAACAGTTGATTAGGCTTCTATGTCCAGATCTACACCACAGCAGCAGGTGACACACTGAATTAACGAACTTTTTAACACTTGCTTACACAGTGACTTTCGTGATGTACACAAACCCTTGGGAGCGTGGGTCCAGTGACGATCAGTTTCAGGTTGTTGACTTCACGTGCCTCATTGCTCACCAGATATTTTGGCCACAATCATTTTTAGCCCAAATCTGCACTGAAAGTCGCGGTTCTGTGCCTAAGTTAGTTTAACCGGAAGGAAGTAGTACCTTGTACTCATGCAAACATGAGCAGATCGATAAACTGCCTCTCAAATTTTCACCCAAATCGGTGACTGGTGATGTGCAGACAGAGACATACACGCATTGAGAACCCTGAAAGCCCCATTATTCTCTTAATTCTACTGGTTTCGAAATATAGCGATGATGGGATACATTTTGCTTCATTCTTCTGGACGTTCTAGTGACAATGCCATTCGTAAATATGGAATAGAACATCGAATACAGAAAGCTGATTATTAAAAAATACACGGCGGGAAGATAGAAACGTGTTGTTCTATTGAAATATAACCGAGATAGGTTGTCCTGCGCATTTTCTATATATTAGAGAGCGGTACTATGTCTTATGCAGGTATGATAATCCGCAAATTTATATTATGACAGCAAAAAGATTGCTTTTAAATTATAGCCAATTCAGCATACTATTCCTACTAACTTAACCAAGAGAGTGCATATGTCAAGTCTGATCTGTTCCCTATGAGGATCGCCTTCCGTGAAGTGATGGAATGCTATCGTTTCAAAACAAAGCAATATTTCCGACTAAAGGGAGGATGGAAAAACTTCCACTAAAACTTGTGCTCCAGCATCCAGACTACGCAAACAACCTATTTAAAAGGATTGATTGTGGAAAGTTCACCGTCAAAAAATCATGGCACTACCTCTTGAACTTCTTGAAAGGTAGTCTGGTCAACTGGAACTTTGCTGGCGTTGTTCGCAGACTTGTTTGTGGAGGCCGAATCGGTGTGCCGCGCAATTTCTGTTCCATAATCCAGCCAAAGGGATAGAAGACGAGGCATCGATTGGTAAATGAACTGGCTTCCATAGCTTAAAGCCAATCCGTAATGAGTAAGTGCTACTTTAAGGAGCGTACTGTAGAAAAGATGGGAAGAGATACAGGGAGGATGGTATAAAACCAGTAACATCGCAGAAGGACCAACCGAAGTGTGGGAGATGTAAAGGAGGAAAAGTATCGGAATGAACAATGAAAGTTACTGGTAAAGCAGAACAGGGATAATCCGTTTTATTCTCGTGTAATGCTCTCCATAGTTGAATGCATCATCGTCGTCCGACCCATTCAAGCCTGTCAATGGTTGAGCTATGATAAGCGAGAATTGCAAGAACAAAGAATATACAGAAATACGAAATAATACGTGTACTAGACGACGGTACAATTGTGCATTGACAGTAGGGTTATAGAAACAGGGAAGCATAACGCAGAACAGCGTAACAAGTTAGTATGGCCAAGATTTTTGTAAACAGCAGTACGACTGTTCATGTGCTTGCACCGATTTCCGTGCATCAGCATGAAATATAAATTCAAATAAGCCAAATCACAGGAATACATCCAACAGTATCGCATGTTTATGGTAAAGTGCAGGGGGATAAGTGTGATATTCAAAAGCTCTCTGATAATGGCTTGTAAGAGCTTTCCAGAGTTGGTAGGTTAGAAGGCAGAAATAGTACTAATGATAACCTGGACGGCAGTATTGCTCACTTAATTTCCAGTGTATTTTGGGGTAACTTCAAAAGAAAGCGGCACATACGACTGAGGTCGCTCAGTAGTCGGTATATTATGATGAGGTCTCCGCGTAACTGCCTCAAGCGTCTGCTACACAACCTAATATTCTAAAGTCGTTAGCGGTACGGTGTGATGCAAATTCTTGACAACATTCCGTACTCCACTCTGTGGAGTCTCGGGCGTCGTTTCAGCCAAACAACAAGAAGAGTAATGGGTCCAAAACCCCGGGTGCCTTCCGCAAGTGATCAACATGCCGCTGACATCTTTTTGAAGTGGCCTCAGATTGTTTAAAACAGCCGAGATCGTACCGTGTAGACATACAGAGGATGTGATTCTGAGAGTTCGACTGGAAGCTACGCGCGTTAAGCTCTCATAAGAAGCGTGTCGGTGGCGAATGTGAACAGATCGGCATTTGTACAGATGGAATAGTAACACTCTTCACTCGTCAATTTAAAACCCTATCAAAGTCATGCTGGATCATATAATCTTTTGATCAGTAGCCAGGTCATCCGCAAAGATTAGAAATCGAGTGTGATAAACCTTTCTGAACCGGTACTGAGGACTAAGAACAGGCAGCACCAGAGTATCAAAAATTGTGGAATACAGCACTCAATTCGAATGGAGCCGCACAAGGGTGCGGAGATTCAAACCACCTATGACAAAACTGAATCGTCAGCACCATGGCGCTGAAGCTAGTAGACCAGGATGCTGTGATACCAGCAATCAAATACTTGGAATAGTTAAATTATGTGGCTTAACGACGTGTCCTGTGCCCGTGTTCAAGCAAGCGCATTGATATGTCTTAGTCACGGTTTTAGTCACATTAAAATCGTTTTTCCGCCAACATGTATCTTCTCACACGACGAACAATACCTAGTATCCCATATTAACATGCCAATTGAAAAGTCGACACTAGCGGATTTTGATCTTAGCTAAATTTGTACGTTATAGCTTGAGTAAAGTCGGCTGATCCCACATCACTTGGGCAATGAAAAGGAAAACCCAGAAGCAAGTCGATTCTTTAAGCTCATTCGTTATCATTTTGTGATAAGTTTACCAGTATGTAGAAAAGCCAGCTCCCGCCCCAGTCAAATATCAAAGTTCACATGCAGTCTTAGTTACGCAAAAAACATGCACTTCTTGTTCCCATCCGATCCACACTCCAGCCATCTATATTGGCGTGCAGTAAGTGGCCCTCAGTAGTAAGTGAGAGGAAAAGTCAGAATTAAAGCCAACCATCTCCTAAGGAGCAGAAATATAGTCCCAACTCCAAAATCATATGATGCAAATCCTCACTAACAGATATTTCGTCTTGGACATAATGGACGTAAAAATCGAACATCGTGTCGCAGAAAGGGCCGCACAACGATGTATCGAGATCGCGGATATCCAGGAAATGGACTGCAACAGTGTATGATGTAACGCAGTCGTGTTAAACTGAGGGCCTACCGAGGGGCGCGTGGGTCAGATGCATTGCCATGTGAGCTGCATATGACAACTAAGTAGAGCAACCTAACGTATATATATATATATATATATATATATATATATATATATATATATATATATGATATCATTCGATGCCCAGTCGTTGTTCACAAACATTCCATTGCTCGAAACCGTGGATTACGTATGCGAGCTTGCTCGGCAACTGCCCATATACACAACTTTTCCGGAGACTTTGCTAAAGGAGGTGTTACTTCGTTGCACGTTAAATGTTCAGTTCACTTTCAATGGTGAAATGTACCGTCAGATTGACGGAGTGGCCATGGGATCTCCTTTGGGGCCGCTGCTGACTGATATATTCATGGCGAAATTGGAACATGGCCCACTTGCAACGCACATCCGTGAAACCGAAATGTACGTACGGTATGTGGATGACACCTTCGTACTTTGCAAATCCGAAAAGCATGCGGAACAGTTGCTGAAAGTTTTCAATGACGCACACAAGAATCGCCATTTCACTTGTGAACACGAACTCGGAAACCGGTTACCTTTCTTGGATGTAGAAGTTATCCGTAACTCAGACGGATCATGCAGCAGAAAGGTACACAGAAAGCACACATGGACTGGGCAGTACACTAACTTCCACAGCGCAGTACCACTACAACACAAGCGGAGTGTAATCAGATCTCTTGGCTTCAGGGCGCGCAGTATTTGTACACCGGATACCGTCAACGAAGAACTACAGAGAATCAGCGACGCCCTCAGGGAAAATGGCTATCCGGATAAATTTATCATGAAACATTTGAAGGAACGTAATCGAAAGCCACCTAGGAGCATTGCTCCTAAGAAAGTGCTTTTCATACATATACCCTTTAAGGGCGATTCTGCAGCTGATATGTTATCCAGACGCCTGAAAGATGCTGTCGAGAAAACTTATTTCGCGGCCCGCCTGAGAATCGTTTTTCACAATAAGCCGTTGCTTACAAAACCCCTGAAGGATAGACTACCGCCGTTGACCAGTTCAATGATCATTTATCAGTACTCGTGCTCCTGTGGTGCACGATACGTGGGTCGCACGACGAGACGCCTATCTCAGAGGGTTCGTGAACACATCCCGGCATGGTTTTACAGAGGCGAAATGAGGTCTTCAGACAGCTCTATCATGTCGCACCTCCTTGAACGTGGCCATACAGCTTCAGAGAATGACTTCAAAGTCATTTACTCATTACCAGAACACTTCTCCCAAGGATTCCGCAAACAGCTCTTATCCATCGCCGAGGCTATGTACATTCACCATCTAAAGCCGGAATTGTGTCCAAAAACGATTTATACGGCCGATACTACTACCTTGGCCAACAGACACTGTTACTTAGTTATTTGCTGTCATCTTACCTACTTAATTACATTGTACTAATGAGCCTTGCGTACACATGTTTATTTAGTTCACTTGGTCTACCATCTCTATCTCTGTCTCAAGTTATCGATTTTGGTCATTCAAAACAGTCAAGAAGTCAATCCCAGCCCCAGTTGACGCTATATCCACAACCACTGTTATGTAAACGTTTGGGCCTGATGAGAGTTACCGAAAAGAATTCTTTACCCTGAAATGATTTCTGATATTGATTCATATATATATATATATGTATATATATATGTATATATATATATGTATATATATGATGTAGCGGCGTCCGTATCCGGATTTGCCTGTCACTGTGACCTCCACGGGGACAGTCACAGGACGCCTGCGCCTACCACAGTTCCACCCACCAACCCCATATCCGATGAAAACCCGAAGGAATAAGACCGGGAGGCATGTGAATGGGAACCACGTTTCATCAACGGAGGAGGCCCACATTCCTTCAACAAACTTAACACAAGCATTCCGGCCTAAATGGGAAATGATGCACACCAGACGTACACATGGCGGTGGCTGGACCGTAGCCCGTGCCATACAGGATGGAACCACTCTTCGAGCCTAGCACCATCACGAGGATGGTGCACCCCCGTCCCCACCAGCGACGACCAATTGTCTCCTGGAGCCAGTATGGACGAGATAGTGGGTAATAGACAGGTAGGCACCTTGTCAACATTCACATCAAGCGCATCCACATTTGGGAGCTCAAACAAATTTCTACTTCTGAAATGCAAGGTTACTCAGCACGCAAGCAAACGTACCACAGTCGCCGCCTTATTGGACTGGATTAGTAAATCGAATGGGAGCGTACTCATGGTGCTTCTAGTCCACGTGCAATAGTGCCTTCTCCTGCACCTGATCAGTCCACGGAACTCGAATTGATCAACATTTGACTTGGATTCGCAACGTCTGAAATCAACATGAGTTTGTCATAAACTCACATTCTTTATGTTCCGGTAATGTTATTTTCGGTTTGCTCGAGTGTCGTTTCTCTGCACTAAGTTAGCCGTACAAAAGCGATATGAGTATCCTCGTCGAATTCATTCGGTAGACATATATACATAGATTGGCGTCATCTGTGTCCAATGGCAGTTCAAATACAACATATGCACATGCGTATATCCAAACTTAAGTATGAGCTGTCAGAAACTGGATAGAGACTCATTAGACATCATCATCAATGCTACGACAAACGTGTATGGGTTTCGTTTGAAGGTCAGGCTAACAACCACTTTCACAGGCATGACGATAAGTCCCAATACGAACTGTTGATGTTTTCCTCAATATTTAGACGTAACAGCCTTAAATCTTGGGCATGCATATTTGAAGGAACCCGATATAGCAGTAGTGAAGCAACTGCTAGGGAGAAGGATAACTAAACTACTGCTACAGTGAAATAGTGTGCACTTAGGTGCTGCCCTCTACATGTACAGTCTGATTTGAGTTTCTGATGGGGGAGATCACACAGCATGCGAATGCAATGCAGTG